TTTTTTTTTTTTTTTTTTTTGAAGGTCGTTTCGAAGAGTTCGAAGCACTGGTATCCTCCTATATGATTGTTTCTTGGCCTAAATCTTGAGATTTTGGCTGTTGTGGAAAAACAGAGGACGCTGTTAGACATTTTGAAGAAACACAAAAATCACAAAGTTGAGCAGTTGCATCGACGTTGCAAAAATGAGATGCGGCGAAACGACAGCTGGTCAAAAATTAAGCAGTCATGCCTTCAGCCCAAGAGAGATTTGTCTTCATTTTTCCACTGAGTCAGTCGCTACAGCAGTTAGGATAAAACTACGGAAACAAGGTTGCAGAGGAGGTTTGAGCATAGAAAATTAGCGTTTAGAGAAGTGTATGAAAGAAAAAAAAAATGAATGTTCATTGGTGACATTTGTAATCATACGCAAAACGCTTATTCCTTGACTTTCTTTTTCAGTTTGCAAATGAAGTGGCTTTGAGACGCCGCGAACGTTTCGGTCCAACTCGTTCATTTAATGCATCGTTCACTGCCCGAAAATTTATGCTGTCCAAAAAGTACGTCCTTCACTCATTCTTACATCTTTGACAAATGCAGAAATGCGTATTGGCAAGAGGTTACCAGTGTGTATATATGCGTGTGTTTGTGTGTGTGCGTTTGTGTTTGTGCTTGTATGTGTATATGTATGTGTGTTCGAATTTTGTCGCCCACCTTCAGCGCAACAACGACAAGAGTTAGGAAGCTGAAATTTTACATGGATGTCTGATCCATATCTAACTTATAAATCTTAAATTTATCACTTACGTACGTCTGCATCACTTGTACAGACAAATCAACGATGTTTTTAACGTAAGGCAAGTTCGGAAATCAGTCAAGCTGCGAAGCAGAAGTTTTACGAGAATATTACGTATATGCGTCACTTAAAGCTTTAACACGCAGTTGTCACATATGCTTGCATTCTGTATACGTACAAATGAAATTTCGGGTTGGGGAATGCCGGCACTCTTCTAACTCAAGGAGCAGACGAGCTAGGAAACTGAAATTTCACGATAATCTTGCCCGTATTGTTATCTGAAAATCTTAAGGTTTAAGCTAAGCCAAGGTACCGCTTGCACGCTAGTGAGATTTGAATCTGAAACACTGTAGGCACCCTTTAGTTCGGAAATCAGCATGAGTAGATAACTGCATTTTTAGAGAGCGTCCGCTGTTCATGTGTGAACCTGCAGGTGTAAAACGACCTGTCACGTATGTGTGTGTGTGTTTTGCGTTCGAACACGTGAGTCTTCGTTTTGCAAAATTGACACCCATCGAGTCTGTGAATCGGGGTGCGCAGAAAACTGCACGTCTAGTGCGTGGTGCTGTTGATATTCTGGTTCGCAAGCTCAAAGTGAGCCTTCGCTTGCATCTGTGTTTCAGGTGTACACACAGTGGCATTACCGTTTGCAAAATTTTTGTCAGAGTTTCCTCCCAAACATTTTAAAAAGTTGCAGTATTACGAGGCCCCACTACCTTTTTTGCGAATGGCTTTTTCTCTTCCGCGTGTTAAAAAAGACAGCGAACTTTTCCAGTATGGTTGCTCATTTGAAACAGTAAAGTAGCAACCACTCACACTGTTATTGATCTTACTGCTGCATAAAGCTGCGAAGAAAACGCTTTTTGCTTGGGTTTTTCATACTGATTTTCTATCCACATGCTTGAGTAACAATGGAAAAGGTACCAGGATAAGACGACACAAATTTCGGCAGTACCATGCATACCAGGACGACTCAAATTGTCGAATCTGAGGAACTGTTCTCACTCCTTCAGTACTGCTGTGTTAGTGGCAGTGAAGTATGGATGCGAAATATCCTGACTAACGAAGATAGAAGAGAGTGTTTGCTGTGATAAAGGAAGCAGTGGAACAAAGGATGCGTATTATCATCTTATTCATCATACGAGTAGCCAGATAAGTGCGTGTAGGATGTTTCTGCGATGACGTAAGAAAGTAAAATCGATAAGCGGATATGTTGCGCACCTTAAGAAATTTGATGGATGTCACAGTTTAATAGTTGGTGCTTGCAAAAAAATAAACTCGAGCTGCTCGTCAAAAAGCGGTGTGTGTACAATAAACAGTCACTGGGTACTAACTGGACTTGTGCTACGCAGGATCGAAAGGCTTGGCATGCCTACACTGAGTTTGTGGGTGCACTCCGGCATGGGGCAGTTTTAATAGTTTCGTATTCTTTGCAGAGGACAAAGTTCTAACCTCATCCGAAGGCTTGAATTTGTCGTGCTTGTGTGTGTGTTTGTGTTTGTGTGTGTGTGTGTGTGTGTGTGTGTGTGTGTGTGTGTAGTATTTTGTTGTTTAAATAAGCCACTGGATACTGAAACAGTAAAAAACTTCATAATAAAGGCTAAAAGTTCATCGAAATGAGGATTTTATGCTTGTTCACTGGTTTATTTTAGCACGGATGATATCAATGAAATGATAAAATGGACGCAACAGCTCAGCAAAAAGATCGATTCCTTATGGAAAATTGCCGAATAATTTCGTATTTCGACATAA